TATTTATGATTATTTATTATACAAGCCTCTATTTCTTCGAGTTAAATTTTTATTGTGAAAAGTTTAACTTTTAACTTTTCAATTACTTTTTTTATTGACTTAACTTTTAATTTAATTAATTTTATTATGAATTAACTTGTATCTTAACTAAGTTAAATTTTTAAGACTGCTAACTTTAAATTAACTTAATTAAAGAATATATTAACTTACTCAGTCCTGTTAATAATTAATTATATTATTGAGTTTAGAATCCGGTAAATACCACACTTAAAACTCTATACTAACACGAAATTTTATCAATAAAATTATAAAATATGAACAATTTCTTTAGTCAAAGTCATTTTATTTGGCTTATTACTGTTTCTCCCTGTGCTAAATGGAGTTGATCCTAAGTGCAATTATTATGGAAATATGAAAGCTGGAGAAAAATGTTATGTGCAAAATCCCGAGTTTCCTAATTACTACAAAGGTGAAAATCACTACGTTTGGGAATTAGCAAGTGACAATATTATTAAAATAAATTGTTCTCTTCAAATAGTAAGTTTGTGATTTAAAAACATTTCGTTCAAAATTTATATATCTTAATTCAATTTTAAAAACTAATGTAACGATTTTACTAAAGTGTAGAATTTGTATTATTATTATACTACTTGTTTAGCGAGAGAATATCTACGGTCTGCCTATAGAAGCCGTATATATGTATAGCGGACAAAATGAGCATTAGGCGAACCATCGGCACTGGTAAGATGTATAAACAATATAGTGCTATGAAGAAAAGCGCTTTTTAAGCGTTCTGAGGAAACCTGCGCGGAACAGATAAGTCTTCGTCTGATCTATGGATATTTTCTCGCTAGACAAAGTGTAGAATTTTTAGAAACAAGATAAAAAGAACGAATAATTTAATAAATTACTTTACAGGGTAATAATTGTACTCAAGACAGACTATCTGTTAAATTTTCTGAAGACGATGGATTTTATTATTGTGGATTTGGCACATTCGTTCGTCAAGGGAAAAATCCAATTATAAGATTGGACTCGCTAATTAAATCCCAAGGCGGCCGATTTATATGCGAAGTTCAAGCTTTAAAAGATAATTCAAATAAATGCCAATGTGGTTGGAAAAAAGTAGTAAGTTTAAATTAATTTTTGTGAGATGCTACTTATTATTATTTATAAAAAGTTTGTTGCTTATCGGTTTTTTAAATTTGGCTTTAAAAAATTATGCAACAATTTATTAAGAATATCAATTTCAGTTAGATATTGAAAATAAAGTTTTATTATTTACAATATTTGCAATGTTTTTTTAGACCAGGATAGTAGGTGGTAAGGAAACTGGGATTAATGAATATCCCATGATGAGTGGACTCTATGATTTAAATATTAAAAAATTATATTGCGGTGCTACTATAATATCCAACACATATATTTTGACGGCAGCTCATTGCATAGAGGGCAAAGACCCAAAGAGTGAGATTGCCGTAATTGTTGGTGAACATGATACAAGCACAGGTAATTGTTAAAATATATATTTGAATAATATTTATGTTAAAAAATGTTCGAAAAAATTGTATTTACAAATTCTAATAATATCAAATTGAACTGCACAATTATTTTTTGTATGTAACAGATTTATTTAAATTATTTATAATTTAATAAAATACTTTTTTTGTAAATTAGATGGACAGTATATCAGTATATGTATAATAATAGAAAATGACTTTTCAGAAAGATGCTAATTTTATTTTTCAATTTTTTATTCAATTATAAATATAATACTTTGTTATTCATTAAAACCTGTTTTACTGAATTATTATAAAAATATATCTTGATAATTTAGTGTAAACGAATAAATTTAGTTTGAAAGATCATTCGTATGTAAAAAGGACAAACGGTGAAATAAGTTTATTCTGTTTTTTAATATAAGATTTTTGGATATATACAAATTTTACATCAGAATTTATAAATTTATTCAATATACTGTACTTTGAGGATAGGTAGCGATACCGATGCAACCAAAATATTTGCCGTGATCGGATGCGTGATTCATCCTAAGTATAACAATAAAAATAATTTAAACGATATAGCTGTTTGTAAAATTAATGGTAACATCGAATATAGTGCTGCGGTTGGTCCGGTCTGCTTACCATTTCGACATAAATATGACTCGTTCAATGGTAATATCGTCACAGCGTTGGGTTAGTATTTTCTCAGTTTTTTCATAGTGATTGATACAATTATCTATTCTAATTTCATTAAATTATTAGGATGGGGTTTAACGGAATATGCCGGCCGTGAATCGAAAACGCTACAAAA